CCCATTGGCTTGTAAACCCTGAGAACTATTTGTACTGGTAAGGGTATCAGTTTAACCCTTTATGTATTATCCTGAATATAGCTGCACTTGGAATAGCCTCTCTATGAACATCTGGCCTCCATTCATGGAGTTAATTCACTGTGGATGCCTAGGAAATATGAATGATATTGTGCTACTGCATTGGAAATATCTTTGATTTCACCTCTTCTGATCATTGGAGTCTCTTGACAGGGTAATTTTTTTTAAATGCCACTGCTCTTTTCTGGCAGTCTCGTCTGAACATATGTCTTTGGGTTACCTTTAAAGAACCATGCTTCTCCTTCCCTCCAAGAATCACAATTTCTGCCATATCTTCAGTCTGAGAAGACCGTGCATGGATGAACAGTGCTCGACCAGCTTCTGTTACATTTTTCCGAGCCGCTAAAGACCCGTCAGGTTCCACCTTGAAGTCTGGGTTAGAAACTTCGAAGTTCAATTTGTCATTTCCCTTGCAGTCATCAAACGCCACTGGAAAAGAGCAAGAAATAAGAGAAGAAGTATTAATTTATAACTCCGGTTTCAGACTGCTATAACTGACTTGCTTTTTCAAGAAACTTCAAATCAGTGTTTATCTTTATATTTGCACAATTGATCACAGCTTCATGGACACGCTTCTGAGAAGGGTGGTTCAGAAACGTTGGCCAGGCTATGGGAGTGCTTAGGAAATGAACTGAACATTTCAGACAAACATTTTGGGAGCAAACAACAAAGATGTGCATTTCCTTTACAGCTGAAATTGGTTGCTTTCAAAATCCTTTGTTTCATAGTGTATTGTCAAAATGATACGCGACAGAAAATTCTGCCAGAAAAATGCTATCATTTGATTTTCTTTATTATCAATATATTTGGCTGGCTCAGCGAATTCCACCTTAAATGATGTTCTCAATCTCTCTTGTCAATGCCATCCCGTTCTGCAGGCAATATTTAAAATATTCACTGAGGCAGACAGAAAGAAAGGCTCCATAGCCTTGTAGTTTAAATCCCCCGCACAGAATTAGGCAGATCTGTACTCATGTCTCCCCCCACTAGGTTATAGGGTATTTTTAGGTGCTTCTCCCTTAGTCATCCCGCTGGAAGCAATTCACTTTACGTAAAATATCCTTAAAAATTCACTGGAGCAATTCTGGAGCCTAGAGTGCCCCAGTCACCTGTTTCACTCTCACTGGCTCAATAAATATTTAAATATGCCATACCAAAAGGGACAGCACCACCATAAGATACTGACAGTGATACACTCTCAAATACCTTTAAACATGGTGGTTTTGATATTCTCCTGGGGGGGGGGGGGAAA